GAGCACTGCCCCTAACATTCCGAACGACTCAAGTCCATCCCACAGGTCCACGCACCTTTCCCGCCGCCTTCGCTTTCTCCCTCTCATACATGGCCCGATAATGCTCATCACACGGATGGTCCCAAATGCTCTCCCCCGACTTGAAATTGAAGTAGTAGATGTTGCCATCTTGAGTTTGACTGGCCGGAGATAAGATAATAAATGTTTTTTGGATAAGTCGGTTCATCAGAAGAGGGGTGCCGTTGCGATGCGTTGGTTATGGGTGAGAGGGGTGGGGGGCGGGCGGGAGTTCTGCCTCACCAGGGCTTCCAGTCTGCAGGAAGCGGGGCTTTGAGCGACTCGCGCGCGATCCAGAAAAGGTGCTTGTCCTTTTCTTCGTCCATGCCGAGGAACTTGGCATATTCGACGATCTCTGCATATCGGGGGGGGGGGGGTAAGAACCACGGACCAAGAAATCTCCCCACGCGCGTTATCTGATCGTTACCATCCTGGGTGGGTTCGTAGTCCGCATCGAACCTGCAGATTTTCGCGGGGGTTAGAGAGTCGCGAAGTGAAAAGGAGCTCTCTCAACGATACGCGAAGGAGCACGGGAGAGAGAGTATCAGGCCCGGTCTTCCACCAAACAAAAAAAAACTCACTCTTCTTCCAAAACGATCTGGTTCGTGGTGTCTGGCATAGCTCGCCGGTGAAGAACCCCTACCGACGCCTTGGACGGTAGATGTGGGTGGAGGTGGATGTGAGCCGCGGGTGTATGAACTGGGATGTGAGCAACCGTGGTGGAGCGGAGGAGGGAGACACACTCGCTTTGTGCAGGAAAACGACGCGGCAGGCGGTCTCGCGGTTCGCCAGCCGCGGGCCATCTGACGCGTCGTGGCGTCCGCCGGTCGATCGAGTTCGCGCCACCCGATCGAACGCGTCGGACCAGCCACCAGCGAGACCAGCGGATCGGCTGTCGGCTTGCTCTCGGCTGCGGTTAGCAGCAGCGCAACCATTTCACACTCCCCATTCCGTTTGCTCTGGATGTCAAGGCCTGCATGTTGACAAGGGCCTGTGGTATAGTGGATTACGACGTCCGCCTCCGATTTGGATTTGGCCAAAGAGTGAGTGAGTGGAACGTCCAAGGTTCGGTCCCTGGCTGGCTCGTGTGATGGTTGGTCTTTTCTTTTTTTGAAATATTTTTGCATTGCATTCCGGTTCTGATCCCTGGACTTTCGGCAGTCCTTCAACGGTCACCAACTCCCAACACAGCAAGCTGGTATTGAAGATGTCCAGCAGTGTCAAGCTCTCCTGAGGAAATTCCTTTCATGCAGAGCGAGGCGCACAGCGGCAGGAAACAGAAACACCGGCAAAGGGTATCGTGCATTCGTTGAACCCTCCCCCCCCCCCCCCCCCCCCCCCGCCCCCCGCACCCCCCGCAAACTCCTGCCAAGTCTTCACCGACTGCACAGGCACGCCAGCATTCTGCGTAAACGGCGGCTGCACCAACGGCGAACTCGGCGCCCCCTGCAACGACTTCAACGACTGCGCCGGCACTAACTCCTGCTCGGCCGGCAGCTGCGTGCCCGGTCCCGCTCCCCCTGCGCCGCCCCCTCGAGCCCCCTCATGCCAGGTCTTCAATGACTGCAGGGGCACGCCCGCGTTCTGCGTGAACGGCGGCTGCACCAACGGCGAACTCGGCGCCCCCTGCAACGACTTCAACGACTGCGCCGGCACCAACTCCTGCTCGGCCGGCAGCTGCGTGCCCGGTCCCGCTCCCCCTGCGCCGCCCCCTCGAGCCCCCTCATGCCAGGTCTTCAATGACTGCAGGGGCACGCCCGCGTTCTGCGTGAACGGCGGCTGCACCAACGGCGAACTCGGCGCCCCCTGCAACGACTTCAACGACTGCGCCGGCACCAACTCCTGCTCGGCCGGCAGCTGCGTGCCCGGTCCCGCTCCCCCTGCGCCGCCCCCTCGAGCCCCCTCATGCCAGGTCTTCAATGACTGCAGGGGCACGCCCGCGTTCTGCGTGAACGGCGGCTGCACCAACGGCGAACTCGGCGCCCCCTGCAACGACTTCAACGACTGCGCCGGCACCAACTCCTGCTCGGCCGGCAGCTGCGTGCCCGGTCCCGCTCACCCTGCGCCGCCCTCTCCTGCCCCCTCATGCCAGGTCTCCAATGACTGCACGGGCACGCCCGCGTTCTGCGTGAACGGCGGGTGCACTGATGGTGATGTTGGGGCTCCTTGCAATACTTTTAACGATTGCGCTGGGACTAATAGCTGCTCGGGTGGTAGCTGTATTGCTTGCCCGTCTGGTACTTGCAGCTGATGTGGATTTGCGAGTTCGGATGACCCCCCCTCCCCTCCCCTCTCCATGTTGTTGTTGTTCTATAAGATTATAAAATAAGATAGAGTCCATTGCTGTTGTCGACGTCGCTGTTTGGTACATTTTAAATGACTGGAGGAACGAGACTCTTCGAGCATGTCGGGGGGAGGGGGAGGGGGAGGGGGGGGGCAGCCGCAAGCAAGGTCAGAAAATAGTCGGGGTTGTGAATGGCTGCCTGTTCAACGCGGCGTTGCTTGTGTTGCCCCTCCTCACTCTTCCAACCTGAGGATGACTCAAAAGAGGGCTCCTTCTTGTGGGGGTCCGCGGCCGAGCCCGTAGAGCTGTGGATATCATCGATTCGTCAATCTGCCGACACACCCCTTCTGCTTGGGGTCGACAATGAGTGTGTCACGAAGGAGGAGAGCAGAAGCTTTTGTTGATCGAGGGCGGCCGTGCAAATTATGGAGGCAAAAAAGGGAACGCTCAAAAGCCTTTTCAACACCCCCTCCTCCACTCTGACCTTTCCTCTAGAGCCAAAGTGCGATGAGGGGGACACGGGGGGCAGAAGGGGGAAAGGGCACGGGGGGCGCCGCTACCGACAAATGAGGAGCAAACGTTGATGGACCATTCTTCTTGTTCCTCCTCTCGTTCACAATACACGCGGCATCCGGTTATCCTCCAGGATGTGAGCAGTGAGCACCAGCCTTTGCTTCACTTCTCAAGCGAACATGTTTGCTGACCTGATGGACCTCCCTGTGGGGGACCCCTGGGTCTTGCGCGAGTCCGTGGCTGGCACGTTGGAACTCATGATATCGGCATGCCGTCTCTACTTGCGGGTGGAGATGCGGTTCCCACTTTCAAGCTGCATCGAATCAACGCCTTGGCGTCCCTCAAAGCAGTTCACCGCTTCTGCGTCCATTCGATTTTGCTCATCGTTATCTGAAGGCCTGATCCAGATGCTTGCTGTTTCTGTTCGAGATGTTAAGCTTTCATCGCCTCGAACTCGCTGACGACACAGGCTTCGTTCGAGTCGGGAGATTCCAGAGACGAACTGGCACCGATCATGATGTGAGTAGGTCGGCACATGTCTCACAGTCAGATGGCAGGCGTGATGCGAGGGGAGTGATATTTGATGGGGGTAGGGGGGGGGGGGAGGGGGGG